GACCAAAAAAGTGTTTTTAATATCTGCATAAAAAGCAGCTTTAAATGCAGGCCAAAGTAAAAGTTTTGCTTAGCTCCCTCCTCTACCCAGCAGCATGTACTCATCTACCTTTTACTCCTCTGCAACTCTGGCCATCAAGAGTGAAATTAAGTTCCCGGTACTTCCAGATATGCATGAGCATGTGACTTCCTGCCCATCTCCCATGTGTGATAGGTCTGGTGCCATGTGATTGGCCAAGTGCTGTCACATGGGGCAGGTGGAAAAGTCTATAGGCCTGTGTAAGCTCTGACAAGTCAGCTTGGAGCATACACATGGCTATCTTTTCTCAGTTGCAGACTAGAGAATCATGGAAGTGAGGAAAGGTGAGTACATACAGCTGGGGTGGGGAGGGGGAGTTAAATGACCACTTTGCCCTGAAGGGCAACAATAAAGGATATTTAACATTATACGATGTCAGATCTTTATTAAAACACTCAAGGTTGTGGCTGGAAAACATAAATGCATTTAGTAAGCCTTACAGCACTTTACTTTAGTTGCATGTTGCACATAAGGCAGCCCATTTATCTCAATAGTCTGCCCTATGTGATCCAAAGAAGCATGCTTATCTTTTGGAACTGCGAGTTGCACGTTTTGTGTGCCTTCAAAAATGTGTTGGGGGGGGGGCATCAACAATAAATGGCACCACAAGCTCGACACAAGTTTGTGTCCGTGTGCTATACAAGTGTGCATAGGGGCTTAATGCGCTAACCTCAACCAAGCACTTTGTATAGATGAGGAGAGATAGTAGTATGCCCCATTCAGGACTGTTTTAGTTTATGTGTATTCAGAATGCCTTGTTTGAATGGCCTGCCTCAGATCCCCCTGCAGAATTTCAATGGGATTGAGGTTGGGACTTTCATTCCTAAGGGTTCTCCATTTCTTTCTCACGACTGTAAATCTCAGCGTGACCAGTCTGTAAGATTCCAGGATTTTGGTGAACATTGGTTAGCATGCACTAGATGTGGGGCATGACAGATAGGGCATCCTGTAGGAGTCCAGTTTTGAAGGAACCACAACTCTCAGCATCCCGAAATAGCCTTTGGCTGTAAGGACAAGGTAAAGTATATTTAAAAACATGACTTGAGTTTAGTTTTGAAGTGGGTACGTTTTAGAACCACTGGCAGGTTTTTATTACTGTTTGTGTCCCGGCTTGGAAGAAGTTGATGGGAAATTCAAAATTTTACGGTTGTCCCTGGAATGGGACGCGAGAGGAGATCTTCCTATGGGGACACTTGCTATGGTGACAACTGTTTAAGAGGTGAATTGCCTTCAATTTGGATAGAGTTTCTACTTGCTTCCTGCGGTGTCCCTGGGACTGGAAGTGAAGAAATCTCTCTAAAGGGACACATATAGCAAACAAAAAAAAAAATCTTACAGGTTTAACCCTTTCCTACCCAAGGTTTTGCTGTAAGTAGACAGCCAGGCTGGCAGCACATGATGCTTTTACAGGAGTTTCCACAATGTAATGAAAATAATGGGTTATTTGCAGGAAATGAATGATAGTCACTTTTATTTTGTGATCGTTTTATGTAGTTCATTCAACTTTAGGGTCATCAGTTGTTTTTTTCTGGTCATTTGCCCTTCAATGGTCATAGATATTCTGTAATTGTCTTTTAAAGCTGGACACACATGGACACAGAGGTCATCTTTAGTAACAGATCCAGAGATGGAGGGTGCTGAAGTTGTATGCAATGCCTTTTCTTGTGAAGGTAAAACTTATTCCTAGCCTCTCCTGAACTTTCTAATTGGCCTTTTAATATGATAATGTCCAATAGGGAGGCTTCAGAGGTGGGGCCAAGCTTGACATTTCTTGTAAAAGTCACAATATCCATATGACTTAAGGTGACTGTATTCCTGGACTGTTCTGACTTTCTATGAAATGTAAACGTTTCTTTTTTAATAACATGGTTAGTTTGATTTGCTTAGGTTTATGACGGGATCACTTTAACGGTGTCTGTGAGAAGTTGGTATGGCATGGTTTGGAGGGGAACACTGTCATTTCCTGAACCACTCACTTCCACAAGCTTCTGATTGGGAAATCCTAAGTGTAACATAAAACAATCTGCAGTCTGATTAGTTTATATACAGCATATCCTTAAAGTGAACCTGTGCTTTACCTACACCGGGCAAAACAACAGGTGCCCTTTAACGTAGCCTTTCCCAGCAGCATATGCTTACATTTGTTTTGGTTTCATTGCTGTTCCATTCAGATGCTGGGAGTGAAGTAATGTCCTGTTTAAGTCACAAGTCAACAGAGTCCTCGCATACAGGGAACTATGGATGCCCTGTGGGACAGCATTGATTGGCCAAGTGCCGTCACATGGAGTGAGTCATATGCTCCTCCAGACTCAGAAGTACCAGGTATTTCCTCTGGCTCTCAGCACTGAATGGAGCAGCAGGGGAGTGAAGGAAATACATGCTGGAGAGGGGAGGGGGATACAAGCAAATCTCTTGCTTTGCCCGGCATGGTGGCCTCCATATATACGAGGGCCGGTGCTGCCACTAGGCAAACTAGGCAGCCTCAACCACTTACACCCGTGCCTCTATTTAAAATTGCAAAAACCAATAGCAGGCTGGCTCTTGCACCTGCCCACTGACAGAGGAGCGGAACTGAGAGACAACTTTCTCTCTCAGTTCCGCTCCTCTGCTCAGTTGCTGGTGTTTCAATAGCCAGCCTGCTATTGGCTATTTCAAATTAAGATAGCCAATAGCAGTCTGGCTATTGTCCCGGGTGCTTACATCCAACTATCGCCTGTGGAAGTTAGCCGGCAGGAGAATGGAGCAGCACGCGCAGAGTGGGGGATTGGGGTTATAAATTTTTTATGTTGACAGACAATTCTACACATTTGTACAATGAATGTAGGTTAATCAGAATCAGCTTTATTTACAAAATAGATTCCGACATAGGTACAGATACAGTATGACAGTACTTGTCTTGCAGCAGCAGCACAGTACATATTCAATTTAAAGTTCAGAAATTCCTGAATTAACCCGACATCAACAACAAATATCAGTATGTTGCATTTATAAATCTAAAATATTTTAGCTACAAGGTGGAAACTCCCCTCTATTTCCAGACCGATGAGGAATATGGGCCTGCCCCAAGGGTAAAGTCACCATGGGGGTAGATGAACTGCTTGGCTGAGCACCTATGAACCCTTGATCAGCCGTACAAAAAGGTGCTGTGGGACCACAATGCCAAGTATGAAAGAGAATACCAAGCCAAGTGGCGGAAAACAACAGGTTCTGCTTGTACGTTCCATCCCACGCCCCTGTGTACATAATTCCATTAGCCTACAAATAGAGAAGGGTTTTCCACTTGATAGCTGAAAGTGGATACCTCCTTTAAAATATAACAGAAGTATAAAAATTAAGATAAAAAAATTCCCAAATTACAGTATTCAATAAGAAATAATAAAATAGAAATAATTGTTAATTACTTAAATATGGAGACATGTCATGGGGGGACTGCAGCATTCGATTACAAAATGACTTAGCAGTAATGATGGGTGTGTACATGCTGTAACACATGAATGACATCAGCATCAGATGCTATCAAAACTTGCAACAGGACACTGTACAATCTTCTACTGCCATGTCCTCTTCCACCACATGGACCACCTGTTTGGATCATTATGTGATAAACAGATCAGTGAGAATCTGAAATATGCAGTAACCATAATAACCAAACTTCGGCTTACTGGTAAAAGATGTCTTTATAAAAGTCTCTAAGCCTCAAGGTTGTTATGCCATCAAAAGCAGCTCCAATGACAAAACAGAAATGCCCAGAGAAGGTCCATTAGCTGATGCTCCACCCTACTATGGTGCAAGCAGCTCACTGACAATTTACTGACACTTCAAATGTTTTAGGTAAGCCAAGTAGCCATCTACACATGAGCCAGTCTTGATCAAATTATTCACCATACAGAACAATTGCCTTTATGATAACTGGACCCTGGTGGGAGGCGTTGGGTTTCAACAAAGCTTATGCAGAAATTCTAAAGAGTCAGCTGGGACTGCAACAGGAGAAAGATAGCTTAGCTATAGTCCGATGGGCGCATGCTACACCTTAGAAACCACAATGTCCCTGCCACTCTAGGATATCAGAAGACAACAGGGAGCTCCCTGCCTGTAGCAGCACTACAGGTGAGTTACCTTCTGATATCCTCCCAACCTACTGTGGGGATTCTATATAATATAATCTCCTTTGTGCCAAGGCTGTTCTTAAACTGACATGTCACTACTGGTTCAAATTGAAAATAAAGCCTCCCTGTAAAAGGAAATGCTGTATACTTACCATTCCAGTGGCCTGTTTCTTAAAAATACTTCACTTTGCTCATCCCCCAGTGGCTGGGAATCAGCACAGCTGAGGATTTTTAAGGCATTGGCTACTGAAAATGTTTGCATACAGCATTTCATTTTGCAGGAAGACTTCAGCTTCGTTTTGACCTTGTGGAGACAGGGTCACTTTAAACCACTAGTTGCCCAGCTGTCATGCTGATCCTAAGACTTTAATCATTTGTGTCCTGGCACATGCAGGCACCAAGTGAAGGCAGAACTCTTCTGCAAGCTTGTTCT